ATGTCAGATAAAACTCAAAAATTTATAACCAATATTATTGGATTTTGCTCAGCAGATCGCCGTCCATCTGAAGGTGGAATATTCCGACAACTTGGGAATTTTCCAACATGAATGATGAACAAAAAACACTGTACAGTACTGTAATTTGAGTGAGTTGATTGCAACGTGCAAATTCGAAGACAGTGAGTATTTTCTTCAAAATTTTTTACAAATATGCACGGGCTCTACTTAAAAAAATTTCCAAAAAAACCAAATAAATCCCCGAAGCCCACGTCGATTATCCCCTGAACAGTGGTCCGCAAGATAAACATTCCCACGACGTTTGAATGACACTTTTCATTCATTCAACTACAAAATATTTCCTTATTTTTTTTTATTCAATCTGAAGATAAAAGCGTTCCAACATCAAGAAAACATAGCGGATGGACGAGTTGGAATTCCATCCACGGGAGCAGCAGAGCCACTAGATAAACATGAATGCCCCGAGTTCAAGTCCGTCACCATGTAAATCGGCACAGGCTCGGAAATCCCACGGTGCAGCGAATTTCAATCCCGTCAGCACATGAAAAGACCGATCGGCAGCTGCTGAAACCTGCTGCAGCTGCCCAAAGGATCATCTGCCCTTTCATCCCCATTTTGCAGAAACCCTGATAGTGCCCAGAACCTTTTAAAATTTTTATCATTTTTTTTTAAATCTCTTGGGCGTTCTCATGGAAGGTGTGTGTGTGTTTGTCAAGACTGACGGAAGGCATTCTTTAGAACTCAGTCGTCTCACAATTTTGAGAATTTCATGCTTCGGACGGTGGTATGCATGACTTCGCAAAAAATATAAGAATATCCGGTTCACGAAAAATTATTTCATGCATGGCCCTTGAATTGGCAATTGTATTTTAAAAGAGCTTTCATACCGAAAAAACGGCAATTTCTTCAACTAGATTGCTACAACCAGACTGTCAATAAACTGAATCCTCATTACATGAATGAGTATTTCAAGCTACAGAACAGTACTTCACGGTTCAGATGTAGAACAATAGTGTGCTTCTCGTGTCAAAGTCGGGGAAATTACATTTCTGAAGTCACTGTACGCTAATTTGTAACAAATGTTTATCAAAGGATACTGTATTTTCGAAAATTTTCCAGAAAATACATCGTTAACAAAATACAATCTACGGAATCGAAAGAGACAAAAACTGGAAAACACAGGGACTCTCGAGATTATCCACACCATTGCAAAAACATCGCATTTTTAAAGATGCTTCGACCTTCGTCAAAGAAACATTTTTGTATAGACGTAGAGGAAAAATTGGTCGAAAGAAAATCCGGAAAAATGATATGCGAAACACAATTTTCCGAACAACTGCAATGAAGTAAAGTTTAAAGATGGACTATTGATGGAGCATTTACAGTAACTGAAGTACAAAAAAAAAAAAGGAAAAACTGACGATATTTTTTAAAGTGTCCAGTATTTGAGATGTATTCCATGGAGCACATCGTCCGTCTGAGTTATTGATTCTGTGAGACTAAAATTAACGTGTCTTCCGATTCCTTGTAAGGCATTCTTACTGAAACCTTACTTTTCATTAAATGTATCATGGGAGCACAGCATTCAAGTAAAACAGTAAAAAAAATTATCCACATCCAAGCTGAAATTCAGCTTCTCAACGTAAAATTTTCTTTCACTGCTAATACTTGTTTTCCATCCCCGCGGAATGGTTGCGTCATCTCCTTCCTCATATTGGCGCACAATTTTACTCAAGAACTAAAATGAAGATACTGTATAACCCACTAATATGGCAAAAGTCATGAAAGAACAACGCCCTACACGTACGCGACACAATCCATCCAAAGCAGGTCCTACAAATTCAGTCCCAGTCGACACCTTCGGAACAGAGGTTTCTGAAGTCACGTAGCAGGAGGAAAAGTGGCGCTCAAAGCTGGTCTAACCTTCGGCCATAAATCAGTGCGACCAACTATGGTTCTACACCACAGTTTCGCATCACATCCAGGCACAGAAACCCACAAATCTTTCGGCTCCAGCTCAGTAAAGCCCGAGAACCCCGCGCAACATAAACCAAGCGAACTCGTTCTGGGATTATATTCTCGCTAGCGAACTCGTTCTGTGGGATTATATTCTCGCGGGCCCCCACATTCAAGGATGCCGAGGTGAAAGAAAAACTTATAGCCAGAGAGATTTTCGTGTACTGTACTGGAGACTGACGAAGAAAAACGAAGCCGACTCACCCAGAGATGTATTTACGCGCGAAGAAGCTTTGTTCCACAACTTGGTCAACCCAGCAAATGAGACACGAAACCCTGCCTTTTCGCAAGTCGAGGTTGTATTGAAAGTCAAGAGCTTCGGGTTTTCTTAGCACTTGCACGGCTAAAAAAAAAGCACACAACTTGATTTGTCACTACACTTCCTACAAGCATTCGGAATGAGGCAGGACGTTCGACACGAAAGAAAAATTGTCCGCGTTTGCAACTGATCACCCCTGCCCTGCGCAATCTCACACAATTCAAATTCACATTGAGAATACTGTAAAACCTGTGAAACGAAAACAGCCAAAATTATGCCAGAAAGTAACTCACTTCACAACCCAAAAAATGTAGCGCAGCTCTTACGGCGATTCCAAGTCGTCCACAAGCATTAAGAAGCAGTATCCTTCTACCCCAAAATTGAGAATTCGTATGAAGAAATTGTGTTGCTCAAAGGTCGTCGTGTTTCCCCGTACGCGTTCCATTTTTTTTGCATTCGAACAATTTCACCCCTGGGATCGTTGCGCAGAATCCCGCGGCAGCCCCTATTTACTCGTGCACGCGCGAATTTCGCGGGTAAATATGGCTCACATTTTCGCCTTTGACGCTCTCAGATCCACTTCGCCACAACGAGAAAGATAGACTAGTGGTAAAAATGTGAATGCGGTGATGGTGAACCTTTGCGATCAGGACCGACCGATTTCCCGCGCCCTACCCCTCAGCCAAATTTGTCCGGGACTGCCGGATATTTTACACAGTATGTGACGCACTGAACCAGACGGCGTATGATTTTCCAGCAGTCATCATGATTGCAATAGTCTAATAAAACATAGATTTTAAGGTATGAGAAGAATGTTTTCGAAAATTCTCGTGAAGAATCGGTTATCTACCCACGTCCCAAGGTGACGTTGGGGGACAAGAGAAATTCGCGCGCGAAACGGCCTGCCCCTGCGATCCAGGACGAACTCGGGTTGATGGAGTTCGCCGAGGATAACTGAGCAGCATCGAGTCATTATTTTTAAGAAGCAGAAGCTGAGTTTTAAAGAAATATTGATAGGTGTCGCTCTAAGTATATTTACTGCCGTAGAACGAATTTAAGCCTCATATTGAAGACTGCTGAACTTGAATATGTCAATGTCATGTGATCATCGGTTCTGAAATTTGATTTTAACGCTATCCTATACTCTGTTAATTCTACTACAGTATACCATTGGAAAGTATCAAGATACAGTATCTTGAAAGTACAGTAATGTACAGTCTGCACACTAGCTTGTGAATTTTGCATGAGAAGTAGTAATACAGTTGAACCTGGATGAATTAGCCTGAAGTCAAGTACCTAAAGAAGTAGAAGTTTTTTTATTCCCCATCTGAATTCCCTTGAGTGAACCTCTTTGAGTCAAATTTCAGGAGACCAGCAAACAATTCTACTTAGTGAGGTTTTTAGCTATATTTAGGGAAACAAGCTTTTCTTGCTGGAATCATGAAAGAATTGCAGAAAATTGTAACAGGTGATTTTCTGGGGAATAATAGAAATAACTTCTTAAATGAGTTCACAGAATGCTGAACTTGGAAACAGGGGTCCTTTCAAAACACATCAAATTACTTGTTTCATTGCTTTTCTCTTTCATGCATAAAGAAAATGATAGCCAAAAGGCTACAAAAAATTTGACTTACAGAGGCTGGAGAGAAAAAGACCTAGAGTTATAGGGGGGTTTCTAATACATTATTTTCAAGAGAATTAAGACTGGGACTTGAAAAAAATTTGACTTGAAAAAACTTGAAAATTTTTGAATTGATTAGGGAGATATTTGACTTAGGGAGCTATTCAACTTATGGAGGTTCAATTTAACTACTACTGTATATTATGATGGAACTAAAGAAAGAGACCAGAGAGTCTCTTCCATTGTGCTAATGTTTTTTTTCTGACCTCTAAGCAAATTTGCATTTTAAATATTGAACAGTAGATAAATTGGATTAGTATGAAATAATGTTCAAAATGATGAATTATTTAGATGACGTGCAAGAAAAAAGTCAGCGAAATTGAAATAGGGACGTTCAGCTGAAGTATTCGATTTCTTTTGGTGTCTTCGAATCATTATCACATTTCGTATACAGTGGCCATGTGTTACAGAATTTTCGGTCATGATCCCTCTCGGTTTGATGATTTGATGCAAGCCTGCTGTGCCATTATTTCGATGTTCGACGCAAGAACACTGTACAGTACTGTATTTAAATGACATGTGCTGTACATTTTTGTCCGAGAATCAAAATCCCAGAGTTTGCATTATGATCGTGCGCAGAATGTAAAAAATGAGGATAAAACGTCAATGTCTCTGTCTAAAATTGTACTTTAGCCTCGAGGAAATGTATCCCAGCTTTTCGATGTATTTGACATCATTTGTCGTTCTCGTAAGCTTACCCCATTGGAAAATATTTTTTATTCGAAAATTTTCGACATTTTAACTCTCAAGTATGTGTCACATATTTCCCAAAAATGTTAATTATACTGCAGCCCTGACGAGTTTATGCTGAAAAGCTTTGCGCGATTAATTATTGCACTGCATATGATGAACGATCTAGAGACCTAGGAACAGTCAGAAGCAAAAATCACTGTGCTGCTGTTTTGGAAAAAATGCTCGAAAGATGTATTCATTTCTCAATTTAAAAATTTCAAGGAAATTTTCGTCATATTTTGGGTTGATGTCCTGTTGATTTTCAACAGTCAGAAGCAAAAATCACTGTGCTGCTGTTTTGGAAAAAATGCTCGAAAGATGTATTCATTTCTCAATTTAAAAATTTCAAGGAAATTTTCGTCATATTTTGGGTTGATGTCCTGTTGATTTTCCTAGATGGACCAGACTTTAATGTAGTCGATTTGCAGGGCGGAATCGTCCCCTTGCCATGTCGGGTACCACTGAGCTCTCCCGTTCCAGAAATCTCTGAAAGCAACGGGGCTGGTGTTTGCCCACGGCTTCCCAGGTGTCGCTGCATCAGGGAAAAATCCGTTGGTTCCGCCGACAGCGACGTTCAAGATCAGGTAGAACTGCAGAAAATAAATGAAGGTACTGTACAGTATCCATACACAGTCGTGACAGGTTGTATCACTTCCTTATTCACCGCATCAACTCAATCATCTTATTAACAAATCCTGAGGTTATCGTGCCGTTTTAGATGAAAACCAATGCGCAAGTAATAGCAGGAAAGAGATTGTTCGAGAATTGCCCAGCAGTATATCTTGATGGACATACTTCCGTCACGCTGCGTCGTGAAATGTTAGTAATTTATTGTGCGACTTTGACGCGAATTTATGGATTCGGATGAAAATCGCAACATTTTCAATGCATCAAATCAAACCAATTTTGAAAATTGATTTGAACGCGCCGAAGTCCGAGCAGCAGCAACAGCTCGAAAGCCGGAATTATTTTTTTAGCAAAACGCTCACAGAAAATATTGGAAAATGTCTTCCGTGTTTCCGAATGAGCCAAGAAAACGCTTGTTATTCATAGCCATAGTTCACACATAGCCTTGGAATTCCATCGGCGCAGGCTCAATTAAAAATTTGTTATGAACGAAGCAGGTTCTCGTTGCAGAAATATTTTAAAAAGAGTCCACTTTTTGTGAGTAAGTGAAAAGTGTTGAGAGATTTCGCAAGCTCTTTAACTCAGACGGCTGAACTTTTATAAAATATTTCGTTTTGATGAGCTGATCATACGTTAATAGAAGATTCAGGGTTACAAAAGGAATGGAGATGATGGAAAAATAATAGTTACGAGAATGCTCAACTCGCTACTCCCATGTAAGTAAAACATTCGAAAATTTAATCTTTTTCATTCTTTTAAATACTGTAGTTTTACCTCTTGGTCGAAGGGAGCCATTTTGGTTGCACCCTTTTCCGGTTGCCACGGGTGCTCGACAGTGGCCATGTCAATCTGTTGCTCGAAGGGGTGGATGCCGAAGAAACCCTTGTCAGAAGTCGGGGTCAACGTGCCAGTAACCGTGTTGTCGACGGATAGCTTGATGTAATCTAAAAAAAAATGCAATCGCGAAAAATAAGCAAGCCAATGAGAGTTGGCGCAATCAGTCGGACTATTAATTGGCTATCGCCCTAGTCCACTTACCGGGAGTCCACTCAAGACCGTAGAGATGGAAATCTGCGCCGTATCCCGCAGGATTATTGATTTCGAAATGTGCGCTTTCGTAACCGTTCACTGGGAAGAAGGGACCGAAGTGCAGAGTTTGAGAAATCTGCGAGATTCAAAACAGTATTTCGAAGGCAATTAAAACAAGCTGACCTCTAAATCATTCCCGCGATTCGTCACGTTGATGATGCCTTATTTTTCACTTTTTTTTTCTCTCACTCAACTGACGCACAAAAGTGGCTTCAAGAAATTTCCAACCATTTGCGAATGAAGAAGGGCAGTGAATTTCAACCTAAATTTTTTTTGCCTTCACGTTATTTCATTGCATTTCGAACAAATAAAGATAAGATACAGCTCAATCATGCAGATACCATTCAAGAGACTCCTGATTCCGAAATATTCCAGTCAACAAATATATTTCAAAGCGAAACCATTTGTAATTTTCATTTTATTGTGTATATAAGATCTCCGCATGAAGTTGAAACATTTTTTCCTGCAACTGCTCATCAGTCGCCCTTTATTCGAATAGCTGAATACGCAATCAACGTATTTAAAAAAATCAAAATTATTGGTTCTGTTGGTACTGCCTAGCTGTAAAGAAAATAAATTTTAAAATTACTGCGCAGTACCTCCACTGGAAAAGTTTGCATCCGTCCATAAATAGTGCCAACTCTTTCTGTAAGGATTTTCTCTTGACCAGGGTATATCTAATTTTCGGCGTTTATTTATTCTTTTACTCTCATATTTTTGCAGTTGGACCACCCAGAACACCTCCCAAAAAATACATAAACGCAGGCGGCCTTGCGTGTGGAATGTTTTCCTGGCGGACGGAACTAATTTGCAAACTCATTTGTTTTTCGTGTTCTTCGGAGCGGAATGGAATCTTTTTTTCTCTTCCTCTCTCTCACGCATGTATCAAAAAGGTGGTCATGGTTTACCAGCTTCCATAATTATTTTCAGGTAATTCGAGTCTCTCTGTAGAAAACCATAAAACAGGATCTTACTTGTTGTTCCCCGATTTGAACGCCGTTCATGGATAAGTCCCTGTTACCCCTGGACTCGCAAATATCGATTTCTCCACTAGCAGGCCATCCGTTGTAAGCGTTTTTCCTCGGCAGCATCCACATAGCTGCGAAAACATATTTTATGGGGCTCGAAACAATTTCAGAGGGATCAAGAGAATCATGAATTCCTCACCGGGCCAAATCCAATCTCCGCGGGGCATTTTTGCTCTAATTTCGACCTTTCCGTACTTGAAAGAGAAGGAGTTCACGGTTCGAAGTCTCGCCGAAGTCGTCGGATTCAGGTAGTTGTCACCGCTTCCAATACGCATGCAGCCGTAAAATTGAGCATTTGTGCACCTGGAAAATGTGAAGTTTCCAGTGTCCCATGAGTAATAGATTCTAGGTTTGTGAATATTGTACTGTACTACTGTAGTGCATTTTTCTCTCATGTAAGACATAAGAAAGGGTACATCTTCTATTCAATGGCGCATCTTTGATTTTGCACGGCATGTATGCACTAGATCAGTGTTCCTTAATATTTTTGGGTTCGCGAACCGGCAAATTCTAATTAAATCTTTCAAGGACCTGCGAATTTTCACCAAATTTTCTGCGGACCTTCGAAGTGCAATTTTTGAAGACCAGCAGAAAATTTTGAATACCTGCCATAAAGTCCTCAGAACAAAGCTGGTATTTGAGAAAATTAAGTCAAGAACCAATGAAGCAGCTATATAATGGAATTTCTTTTAAAAATAGAAAGCTGCTGGGCTTCAAGAAAGGCTCTTCATATTGAATACTTAAAATAGTATCTTTCAACAGGAGAAAATATGTCTGAAGTGTCATTAGGAGAAAAGCCAATTTTATTTCTCGGCAGGTAATTTCAATTGCGATTGTCTTTCTGAAATTTCGGATAACAATAACAGGCTTCATGGCTACCTTCTATAAATTTATCACGCTGAAGAAATTTTCCCGTGGACCGGTTCTCAGTTGACCAACTCAATCTGATGTTTAAAAATGGCTCAACTTTCAATTACATGATTACTTATATATTGCCATGTCAAATTCTAACTTCGAAAGCGCAAATAGGTAAAATTCTGATTTCCGTTACAAGCTACTGAATACCGTAACCCCTTGAACAGAAGCTTGAGTAAGAATCAACAGACTCCTCTGATACAGGACAAATTGAATTTATTGAAAGGATTTCTTGCATTCATAGGGAAACATTATATAGTATTTAAATTTCTGAAAAATAAAAAGAAACACGGCTTCTAATTCTGTGTATTCCTGTGAACACGATGTAGTTCATAATCAACTCACTCGTCAGCAGGAGATCCGCCGTTGACATCCAGGGTACCCGTGGAAAGGTAGACCTCGCCTGAGACGTCAGACAACAACCCGGGTTTTATATACAAGATCCCGTCTTTCGTGTAACTGCGGGTCCTGTTATTCATGTAATACTGGAACTCCCAGTTCTGAGGAAAAAAAAATCATTTAACATTCAAAAACACATGGGAAAGAAAAGTTGGGTTCCGCCACCAGCAGTTTTTCGCCAAGTTGCGTCTAAGTGAAAGGTAATAACAGTACAGTAATTACACTCAAAAAAAGTTAGAAAATTTCAAAAATTGCCATAGACTAAATAAAAAATAAAAAAGGAAACTCACACCACCGCCGCTGAGAGTGACTTCGTGCTGCCACAAGTCCAAGTCTAGCTTGTTGAAATTTTCGTCCAACACCAAAGTGTTTGGGGGTTGCGGGACACCGTTAACAGTGGTAACCCATTGATCTTGGGGATACTGAGCCGACGCAACTACAAAAAAAAAAAAAAGAAAAGTCGGCACCGAATTCCGTTTGTGCAAAAATTCCGGCTCGATTCTCGCAAAATCACTATAATAATACCAGTATTTATGACTGGGTGTGTCTTATTCGCCAGGTTAGTCGATAATATGCAAGAAACAAAATTCTCAAGGATGAATAAAAAATTAATAATAATCGGCTAACGTGGTTACTACCACCGACATATTATTGCAAACCTTCTCTCTTCGCCCCGTGACTTATTTCTATTCTCGGCTTACTTTTCGAGTCCTTGAAATTGTGTCGCATGCTTTCCTTTAATTTCTAGAGATTACATATTTTTGATTCTTGACGCTGATGTCCCGTGACCTGATTCCACGAAAATTTCAAGTGAAATTTAGATAGCTTTGAAGGCAACGATGGTTTTATTCACGAATTATTTTTTCAATTTTTCGAAGTTTTGTCTCATGCTTTCCTTTAATTTCCACATGTTTGATTTTCGACATTGTTCCGTTACGGTACCTGATTTTCAGTAATTTCAAGTAAAATTTAAGTTAAAAAGATGACTATGCTGCTCAAAATAAAATTAAATAATCTACTGCGTTTTCCCTGCATATTACTTTTAGAATAGAAAATCAATTGTGAAGTTTGTAAACGAGAAAAATAAATTGATGTCAAACTGCGGTTGCCAAACTTACGTGCGATGGTGATCGCGAGGAAAACGAACGCCAACATCTTCGGTGATCGAGTCGCTGAAACCGTTCTTAGCGGGGTATACGACTTATTACGATTCACACAGTTCTTGACTTTCATTTAAGTAGTTCAACACCCGTTATCTGCAACACTCGAGATAGTGCTCCGAAAGACTTGTTTTCAGCTCACTTCGATTCCCTTTTCTTTACTGTGATGTAATTTTAGCGTGGGAATCGATTAAGGGGGAACGCAACGTTCGTTTAGGCAAAATTACGAGCGTCAGACAAGCAAGGAGATTCTCCAAAGTTTCTCCGAGAAAAAACGTTGCGAAAATAAATCTGCACAATCGACGAGGAATAAAAAGAAATCAGACTTTAGTGTAAAATTAACAGAGAGATATGCTGCTGTGTGGAATGCTTCCGGGGAGCAACTGAACCTCCGAAAGTTTACAGAAGCAGCACACTGGGCATTTATGGAAACGGAAGTTAAGCTGGGCTTCCAATCGACATTTAGGGCGAAGAAACCCCCGGTGAGTTGCTCATTCGAATCCCAGCAGTCGATTGTTGTAGGAAAGTTTAAAATTTCACTGGGGCGTCAAAACATGACCCTGAACCTTAGAAGCCTGGCATGATGAAAGAGCGAAAAAAAAACCCCGAACTTCTGACTGGAATCGGACCCATCTGCATTTCTTCTCATGAGCTTCTGTTTCGTTGCCGTGCAAAAAAATACCGTACTGTATATGAAAAAATCACAAAAATTGGGCGCACCTTTTCCTACTCCCAGCCTCAAGGACACGATATCAGATAAAAAATCTTCGAGAAGGAAGTCTAAAAAATTTTTTTCAAACGAAAAAGCAAGTATGAAAAAGGCAAAAAAAAAACCATGTCAGTAGGTGATTTAAATTTCAGTTTGGCTTTGTTAATGAAGTAGGTTCGGTCAGCTTGTTACACTTAATTTTTTGTTCATGCGATTGCCTGGGCTCATTCTCACTTGTGTGACGAAGACTTGAATGATAATCTTTATTTTTTCAATTAAATTTGATCCCGGAAATAATAATCGGACGTCACTAATCTGAAATTAAATCCTTCATATTTTTACCCATTCCTACATGAATTGGATTACTTATTCCATGAATACTTGAACAAACTTCAAAAAAGCATGGATGGCACATCGGAAACCTCGTTAAACACTTACGATTAGCAGGTGTAATTGAAACGAGAGACAAAAATAATGAGATTCCAGTAAAATTATTATTCAATTCAACCTTGGACTTATTTAATGAAAAAACTTTGTTGAATGTGCATGAAAGTGAACTTCTGAAGGTCAAAGTCCTTGCGAAGTAACGCACCTGCACCGCTTCAATGAGCAGCAAATATATCAGAAACGCGTGTAAAAGTACCTAATTAGTATTATTATTTTCAGCAAGCTATCTGAAAAATGACTCGCATATTCGGTATATACTGTACGTATAGATAAAAATCCAGGCCATGTCGAACTGGAATCCAATGAACAAATCGAGCTGCTTCCTCAGAGGCTGAGGAATCTCCGAAATTTTATTTAATGAATCATGCAGTAACAGGAAATGTTCGGGCTTGTTGAACGATGGGACGAGAAAAAAAAAAAATTTTATGAAATATTTCGCCAGATGGTATATTTCATCGAGAAATAAACATTCTTTTGGAATATCATGATTGATGAACCATTTGCTTTGTGCAAGGTCAAAATTCAGGAGGCAACTGTGCTCATCGGGATCGAACCCATGCACCGTGACATGTGTTGATATATTCGTCCCTCAAAAGGCACGAATTCCAAGTTTGGTCCAGTTTCAATAAACGCCTCCGCGTATAATTTGAATTACAATCTGTCAAATCGAAAGAGTTTCTCTGTAGTAAAGTTCAAGATTCATATTTGTATTCGCTCAGCACTGGTGAATTCAGGAAATGACGAATTTATGTGAAGTATTCAATTATATCGAACCTACGCTGAACATCTTCGCACGTTCGCCAATCCAATAACAGCAAGAGATTCGAAGGACGAAAAAAGGCGACGGAATTGAGCACTTTATAGTTCAGTTCGAAAACTTTTAGTTGTTGCTGAAAATCGTTTGAATTACGAAAATAATAATTCCTTGGTTACCGATTTTCGTCAACACCAAAGGCTGAAAGCGACCCTTTCTGAGAAAATAATGTGATGATATTTATTTGATCAACGGGTTTATCAAAAAGTTTTATTTATAAAATTTCCATCGCTGCTGCGAACGTTTACGCATCACTTTAATCAAAAGCATATTAATTTTTCAACGAACGTTTCTTCAAATGAAGGCTTATTTATTTTTCAAGTTGTACCACTTTTTCCACTCACTTATTGTGATGTAACATGAATATTGAGCAGAAATAAGCCCTCTTGACCCTTCCCTGAATTTCCCATGGCCTTCTGGTTTTTTTAAGTACTCTTGCGTTCCGTTTTTGTATCCCTGAATTATTTTACTGTACGTTGATTTGTAACCGAACGATTCTTTGAAGTTGCTGGCAAAACAATTTTAGGCGAACTCCAAAAGTTCAATACAAAACCTCCGATTGCAATGCAAGATTTGTGTCAATTTTCAGTCTGCAACTATGAAATGTCATTGAAGGTACGTGACGAAATCGATCACGCGTGCGACAGAAAATCATCAACAAAGGAATCAAGCTCGAATTTAAGCTAGAAAAGTCTTACACATTCGTCAAAACACGAGGAACCCTGAAATACCCGCTCTGAAAATGACAATTTTACTTCAAATTGCGATGATATTATCTGCAGACTGCATCTCTACAAACGTTGCAAATAATGAAAATTCACAGAATTTCAGAATGCGGAACTACCGAACTGTCTTCTTGTAAAATGGATTTCACAAAATGATTTTCGAAATTCACACATTCAATTTTTTCAGACGACGACAAACTTTCGTTCCTCTTTTCATTTTCAGCATAATTGGTCAAGTGTTGAGAGCCACATTGACATGTTTCCCCAAATCTTCGCCAATTCAACAATCGACAATTGCTGGTGATACCCGAATTTTTCTGAGAGTGCTGGATATTTTCATCATACTTTTGTGTTTCGGCATGCATCAAATGCGCGTACTAATTTTTTGCTCATATTTAGGCAAGTAAATCCACCCATGATATACTCCGAGTTTCCATCTTCGAAAAATAAACCACATAAAGCTGGCTTTAATAGCTAACAAACAATCAACGGTAAATTTACTAGCAAGAAGATCAGATCTGACCTCGAACAAAACAACGATAAAATTTAAGAAAAAAAATCTCTTCTCCCTTCTGCTTCATTTGCAATGTGTGCTATGCTTCGTCCAAATCGGATCGATGACAGAAAAGTGAAACAAACGGAAGCAATGGTTCAAGTTCGTCGACAAGCGAAGAAACAGATACTGCATATGCGTAAATATCCCACCAACAATATAACCTGAATAGAGACAATACTTGTTTGTCCAGCTGCTTGTTGCCAGAAAATCCCCCGCGGGCAGATAGCCATTTACGGCGGGGTGTCGATTTTCCGAAGGCGCCCAAAACGGGGCACTGAAAGCAGATATGTTTTATTCGTCCTCTCGGCTGATTATTGACCGTCCCCTTGGTCCGTCCTCTTTCGCATTTCGGTTGCATGAGCATTCAGAAGTAATGTAATCCTGTTCCTTGAGGTCATGCTTTCGGGGGCTCGGTTTGAAAGCAGTCCGACGTCGGACTTTTTTTTCCCCAGTTCACATTCGACAAGGCTATGAGGAAGATTGAAAAACCCCCAAGACATCGCGAACGAACCGGGTATTATGAAGCTGTCGTCGTCGAATTATAAAGCCAGATTACAAAAGCTTCATCACGTATTTACGGCAAAAATTGTTGGAGGTACATTTATGCGTTTTTGTTATTGTTGTCAAACAGAGACTTTGGCCTGGAAATTGGTGATTGATTTCCTGATCTTAAAACGCTTCGCGACAAATAAGGATAAGACATTATGACAAAAAGCGTTGGATTGGGTTTGTCGCCCGTCGCTTCGTGGCTTTTCATATCGTTCCAAGTTGTGTTGATTGTTTTGTACGGATTATTCACACGACACGTCGGCACAGTCACTGTCGATCACAGCAAGTCAAGTTCGAGCGACGTCGACGCAAGCACAGCTGGTCACAGCAAAGGAGAAGAAATCTTCAACGTCGGTCCATATGCCGGTGAGTTTTTTTTAAAACTTTTTTTGCATAAACAAATTATCACATATGTGCACCTATTGGCCACATTAAAATTCAGATCTGAAATTTAGCGAAAAATAGTAAAGCTAGCAAAAGACGAGAAATTTTTTGGATAATAGCAATAGATAGCCATATATACAAGCGAAACATTTGAATTCTCCTGAAATTTTATCTTAAGTGAAGATTGCAGCACTGGGGATTTATAATGCATTGCTTAAACATACGACTCATATATTAAATCTGGAATGGATCTTTTTTTAAGCAACTTTTTTTTATCTAGATTAATATCAATCTGTGCATCTGGATCAGTAGCCAAATGGATGAGAGTTCTTTGTGGCTTATTCTGAAAAAAATTTGAAGTTGATTAGGCTGTGTCCGAATTTACAGTGCTTTGTAAATCGCTTGAGTTTCAAAAAGTGTGCCATACGATCGGTTTTAATACAGCGGAACGAAAGGAGCTTTTCAGTGAGACAATGTTGATTATGATTTGCGTTACTCATCATGCCTCATTTTTTTTTTCTGCAGCTTTCCAAGATGTTCACGTAATGATATTCATCGGGTTCGGCTTTCTAATGACATTCCTCAGTCGCTACAGCTACTCTGCGGTGGGATTCAATTTCCTTTTGGCAGCGCTCGCCGTGGAATGGTCCATATTATGCCAAGGATTTCTGCACGCCTGGCATTCTCAACATGCATACATCACGTTGAAACTGTCAAAGTAAAAGCTTATGAGATTTATTTTTAAAGAAATGATTCATCTAAGGATACCATGGTTTCACGCAGTTTATTGGCCGCCGATATCGCATCCGCTGCATTTTTGATCTCCTTCGGCGTGATTTTGGGTCGACTGACGCCGCTGCAATTGATGGTCATGGTCGTCATTCAAATGCCATTGTTTGCCATCAATGAGCATCTGACGTACTTCGTTTTCAAGGTGAACAAAGTATTTTGTGAAAATTTGCATGCATCAAGTTCAGCAATCGCTTGTCTTGAAATTAAATGAATATTTGTATTTACATTTGGGACGATTCTCGTGCTTCTCTAATGTATGTTTGCTCTGATGGATCACGTTTTCGTGGGCATTCCTCCTGATAAAGTCGAATTCTGCCCCTATTCCCAACTATTTTTGGGACTAGGCGTAGGTACAACTATTTTTATTCAAAATATTTTACAGGATCAAAACGCAGAACGATTGCGATCCTTGGTATCAGATGCTGCTTGAGAAATTTATGACTACAGTATTTATGAAATTGTAAATACTCACTTTTCTTGAAAACGAATGACAATCCCAATTGTTTTCCGGATATGATTTATACCTTTTTTAAGATTTATGAACTGAAGAACATTTAGTAGCTTTTTAACCACTACAGTATTCCAATGTTTGCCTGCCGCCCAGTGATTAAAATATAGGAAATTTTCTTGTCATTCAAATGGAATGAGTTTGAAATTGGTCTAAGTCTAAGAGACAAAATGTATCAGCAAGTGGAATAGTAAAATCAAAATAAATTCGCAAATTTAATATCCCCTCTATAAAAATTTGCACGTGACAATTTCATGAGCGACGCTGAATGTGAAGATTGCCCTAGAATAGAAAATAAGAAAAATCTCTACGAAATCAACTTATATACTGTAGTCTGGCTTTTTATAATCTAATGTTACATATTTTACAATATGATCTCTGGGAATCTGTTTAAGTAACACAGATAAATTTCAGGATAGTAGGACGTTTATAACATCGCTTTTGTTTTCTCAGTTAATAAGTCGTGCAAATCTCAAGCGTTGAAATTCAATGGCTACCAAAAATTCAAAGTAAGATTTTTGCGCTTAAAAGTTGGGAACATTTTCAAAATTCGAGACTTTATGCTTCATGGTTTTTAAATCAAAATCTGGATTTAAAATTCATGACGAAATGTAAATTGTTTTTTTAGCAATTTAAATCCAATGAAGTTTTCCTTCTTTGCCGGCTAACCCTGCGAATCAGTTGGATCATTTCCTATTCTCAAGCATGTCTGCTTTTGCACGCAAATATTTATGTCAATTCTGAATTCTTCAAAAAATATTAGTCCGTTGTCTACAGCCACCATCGTAGCACCAGGTGGACAAGCCGCGCTAAAAGCCTAAGTGCTAGCGGTGTCATTCAAGTAAGTCCCTAGCCGCGTTAATGTACGACTTAGGCTTGAACCTGGACACGAATCGGTCATCAAACGTATTCTCCATGGTCGGTGAGTGAGATGCAAACGAGCTCAGAGATGAGCAGTATAATTATTTCGTTCCGGGATCTCAAACGCGTCACTAATTTCTGTGTCCAGGTACCCTGTTTCTCTGGGTATTCTGGCCGAGCTTCAACGGCGCTTTGGCGAACCCTGGTGATGATCAGGAACGAGCTCACCAATTGTGAATAAATAGCTAGTCACGCAGGCAGCACTGCCGTAAGCGTTGGAGGAAGGACCAGAGCGTGCTCTCTTTCCACCTTTACCACCCATAAGTACAGAACAAAAGCCAGGGTTTAATAGATACAGTGATACTTCAATCAATAATCTCACGTTTACGTGATAATAGATCGCACATTTCCAGAAAAAAATATTTGCGCTGAAAAACTCTGGCGCTACTTGCGATATTAAGCACACGAAAGAAATATGAGTAGTTCGTGTGATCATTAGGATGATGAGGAGATTTAAATGGAGGGTTGAATGAGGAAAAGAAAAATCCAGCCCTCTAGTAAAAATACGCAGGAGTTTTTTCCCGCAACGAGTTTTCTTGGTGTTCGGATGGTCAAGTCAGCAATGATGCTTGAAAATTGCATCAAGCTCACTGAACCTGTATTCCATTTGAATTTCTGCAAAATTCGGCAAGCCAAATTTCTAGTATCATTTGATGCGTATTTTTGCCGCACTTTCCCCTCATCCATTTTCTGTGATATATGTGCATCATTGTACCCACAAAGGGATGTTGCATGCAATTTTCTCTAATTTAATCCAGGTTGATGAATATTGCAGAAGTTATAATTTGTTTTAAATTACGAGTTTTCGTTTCATTTCCAAAAGCAATAAGTAAGTATTCAAGTATTTTAACACGCTCAGGAAGCGGTATTATAATTTTCGCGAGATGATTCACGCCACGGATTGAAATATATCCCACTTGGTGAATAAC